ATCTCAAAAAAAAAAAAAATTAGAAAAGTGACAGAATAATTTGTTGCCATCTCACCAGTTTGGTTTTGCTGTACTGATGACCTCAACTGGCATCATGGACTGAGAAGAAACAAGACAAAAAACAGGAAAAAAAATCCTGGGATTTTTTTTTTTAGGAATAAATAAATACATACAAATAAAATGTCTCAATGGAGGGAAGAATACATGTGGGAGAATTCTGATTTCCAGCCTTCTCCTCTACTCCTCCATTTCCAACTTAGTCTTTTCACAGAATAGAACCATATAGCCTCTGCTGCTCAGGGGGACAAAGTCTGGTGCTAGTAGGAGTAAACTGAAGGCAAGGCTGCCCAAATCTACCCACCTCCCCATGAAACATTACGGATTGCATATCCAATAGCATTGTTCTGGTTTGCATCTTAACCTCTGAGGCTCGTAAACTGTGGGAAACCTTTGTTCAGGGACAGCTACATCACTCCTATTAGCGTCTTGGACCTTGGCTCCTGGATGCTGTCCAGGTCTCATATTGCTGAAGTCTTACTTATTCAGATCTCTCTGACTTGGCATTCCACACCCATAAAGTAGCTCAATCTCATCTTGACTCCTAGCCAAATGATGCTCCCAGCAGTATCTTTTTTGACAGAGATTAAGGTTCATTCTATGTTATACATCCAAACATTTGACATAAATTATGACTCATGTTTAAACTGGTTAATAAGTATCTACCACTGAAGCCAGAGAAAGAAGACAAGATTAAGAAATTAGAATGGCAGCCGGGCACGGTGGCTCATGCCTGTAACCCCAGCACTTTGGGAGGCTGAGGCAGGTGGATCACCTGAAGTTGGGAGTTTGAGACCAGCCTGACCAGCATGGAGAAACCCTGTCTCTACTAAAAATACAAAAATTAGCCGGGTGTGGTGGCAGGCACCTGTAATCCCAGCTACTTGGGAGGCTGAGGCAGGAGAATCACTTGAACCCTGGAGGCAGAGGTTGCAGTGAGCTGAGATTTCACCATTGCACTCCAGCCTGGACTCCAAGAGCAAAACTCTGTCAAAAAAAAAAAAGAAAGAAAGAAAAAGAGAAAGAAAGATATTTCCCTCCCTCCTTCCCTTCCTTCTGGAAGTTTGCAGTTTGCAAGACTTTTTTTTTTTTTTTGAGACGGAGTCTCGCTCTGTCACCCAGGCTGGAGTGCAGTGGTGTGATCTTAGCTCACTGCAAGCTCTGCCTCCTGGGTTCAAGTCACTCTTCTGCCTCAGCCTCCCAAATAGCTGGGATTACAGGCGCCCACCACCACACCTGGCTAATTTTTTGTATTTTTAGTAGAGATGGCGCTTCACCATGTTAGCCAGGATGGTCTCGATCTCCTGACCTTGTGATCCACCTGCCTCAGCCTCCCAAAGTGCTGGGATTACAGGTGTGAGCCACCGTGCCCGGACAAGATTTTTTTTTTTTTTAAGAAACAGATTGCACGTGGTGGTGGGCATCTGTAATCCCAGCTACTTGGGAGGCTAAGGAGGGAGAATCGCTTGAACCCAGGAGACAGAGGTTGCAGTGAGCCGAGATCGTGTCACTGCACTCCAGCCTGGGTGACAAGAGCGAAACTCCGTCTCAAAAAAATAAATAAATAAAAAATAAGAATTTTTTAAAAAAGATTTCCTTCCTTCTCTCCTCCCTCCTTTTTTCCTTCCTTCCTCCCTCTCTCCCTCTCTCTCTTTTTCTTTTTCTTTCTTTCTTTCTTTCTTTTTCTTTTCTTTCTAATTTGGAACACACTTTATTTAAATGCATATCTCAATTCCTGTGTGGCCAGCAAAAAATAAAATAAAGGAGCAGGTCATGGCACAGCACTCTCACGGACCAAGTGGTCGAACCCAATATTCAAGACCCAGTGAGCAGCCAAGCTCAGTGCAACCTCCAGGCCTCTCGCTCTGACTCCAACAGGGTGAGCACACAGCCCTTACGCACAGAGTCTTTTACACTGTGGATGATGGAGTGGCTTGTGTCGTCCTCAAATTCCTGCGTGTACTGTCCCTGAGAGCTGGTTCTGCCCAGGACCGTGGTGACCCTGGCCAGCTAGACAGGCTGCACGTGGCTGGTGTCCATGATGGCGATGCAGCAGCAGTTGGGAGGAGAGAAGAAATACATTCCTTTACAAAGCAAGCAATTATTTAAAATATTCACGGTAATTCAGTGCTCATTAGCTGTACTCAGTAAATATTTATTGAACACCTACTATGTGCTAGGTACACAAAGTACACTGGTTACAAATTCTTGAAAAATAGTAGTGGTAGCAAAAAGCAACAAAACTTTCAGCCCTGCCCTTACAGAACTCACATTCTAGTGGGCAGGGAGAAAATAACCGGAAAAAGGACCAGCACAATGGCTCATGCCTGTAATCCTAGCACTTTGGGAGGCCAAAGTGAGCTGATCACTTGAGACCAATCTGAGCAATGTGGCAAAACCCCATCTCTACAAAAAATACAAAAAGCACTCAGGCTTGGTGGTCAGCCGAGAAGAGAGAGAGAGAGAGAGAGAGAGAAAGAGGCCGGGTATGGTGGCTCAGGCCTGTAATCCCAGCACTTTGGGAGGCCAAGGTGGGGGGATCATGAGGACAGGAGTTCGAGACCAGACTGGCCAATATGGTGAAACCCCATCTCTACTAAAAAAAAAATACAAAAATTAGACAGGCATGATAGTGCAGCCCTTTAATTTCAGCTACTCAGGAGGCTGAGGCAGAAGAATCACTTGAACCTGGGAGGCGGAGGTTGCAGTGAGCGGAGGTTGCAATGAGCCGAGATCACACCACTGTACTTCAGCCTGGGTGACAGAGCAAGATGAAAGAAAGAAAGGGAAGAAAGGAAGAAAGGAAGGAAGGAAGGAAGGAGGGAGGGAGGGAGGGAGGGAGGGAGGAAGGAAGGAAGGAAGGAAGGAAGGAAGGAAGGAAGGAAACTAGAAAAAAAGATAAGTAAAAATATAGGACATTTTAGGTGAAGGTAAGCACTAGGAAAGAAAGAAAAACAGCAGGGAAGGGATGTTGGTGGGGCGGGGGGTCGGGGGTGGCAATTTATACAGTTTGGCCAAGGAAGACATTATAATGCACTTATTCCTTAGTTTAGAACATGTAGCATTTCACCTGTACCGAGAGATGCCTGAAATATTTCATACATGACCAAAATAATAATGTAAGAGGCAATAAAAAAGTGCAGGGTTTTAGGGTTCTAGATATCAGCACTTTTTAAGATTAAATGCATGGTAAGAACTCTTGTACTATATACACCTAGTTTCAACTTCAATTTAATAACAAATTCTTTGGGGTCTCTTTCTTTTTTTTCCCGAACAAAGCTTCCCAAGAAGCAGAAGGGCTGAATTTTCTCTAGTCCAGGAAGACCGCAAGGCTACTGTGCTCCGGATAATCTCGTTTTTATTTTTTTATTCCCCAGATCGCAAGACAGTGTCTGGCACATACCATTCAGCACAAGTTTGGTACCTGGAACCCACTGGACCCACTGAATGTGCATGTCCAATAACTATTAACTACATGTGTTGGTCCAAGGGAGAAGGTCGAGCAACCAGATCTGCTCCATCACAGCCCATCTCAGTCGCTTCATTCAAGTCAGCGGGGTGAGGTTGAGGGGATTCCAACTTCACAAGTGCAGATTTCTCAAGGATTCTCTTTCTCTGGTTGTACTGGAACGCTTTCTGGCGTTATTCCTCTGCTGGGACAGTATGAATTTATGAAACGTGGTCCTGTCTGCCCTAAAGCCAGGGTCTCACTGAGACAGACAACGATGCTGGGGCGAGAATAAAGTTCGTCCCGGGCCTGCGTACGGTACAGCGACCTTGGGAAGCCCTTGTGGAGCTGAGGGTGATGCCACTTCTTTGTCTCCCTCATTCTGTTTCGGTGGCTCTCTCGTTCCCAGTTCCAAGCTGCCCACTTGTTAGAGAAGCCACTGCTTACCAGGTATCTGGTTTAATAAAACACAGCCAGAGCGACTGCATATTAAAGTGAGTAACTAGGCACTCACAGGGCACCTATAAGGTTAATGCTAAAGGTCTGAAAATAGCCGCATTCTAAGCTGACCAGCAATTATAATTACACAATATTTATGACCATACAGGACTTCTCCCAAACCAAGTCTGTGGAATGTCCAGATGTCCTAATTTTTTTTTTTTTTTTTTGACAAGGTCTCACTCTGTCACCCAGGCTGGAGGGCAGTGTGTTGCTATCTCAGTTCACTGCAACCTCCGCCTCCCAGGTTCAAGTAATTCTCCTGCCTCAGCCTCCCGAGTAGCTGGGACTACAGGCATCCATCACCACGCCTGGCTGCGTGCTTTTTTTTTTTTCAAATAGATGGCATCTCAGTATGTTGCCCAGGCTGGTGTCGAACTCCTGGGCTCAAGGGAGCCTCCTGTCCGGCCTCTCACAGTGCTGGGATTACAGAAGTGGCCACAGAGCCCGGCCCAGCCCTCTACTCAGAGATAACGTCAATGCGCAGGCTTAGGTTGAAGGATTAATGGTCATTAGTGCACCAACAGCCCCTACCTTTAGTGGGCACATCAGCACATTCCACGTTTAATCACAGCTCCTCACAGTTGCCTCTAAGTAGTGACACTACGGAAGGACGGGAGTTCCTCCTCCTACAGTCTGAGGACTTGCGACTCTGTAACGGAGTAGATTCCAATAAACTTGCTTCCTTTACTGCGCTTTGTGACTCGCCTCCAGTTCTTCCCTGCGGTAGACCCAAGAACCTTCTCTTGGGGTCTGGATCGAGACCCCTTCTTCCAGCAACACAACCCGCGGGGCCGCCTCCCGCCCACCCTCAGGTGCAAAGGACCCCGGGCCATGCATTCTTCCGGGCAGGAAAACGTCAGCAAGTGCTCCCAGCCCGCTTTCCTCCCCTGCCTCCCTCAGTTCGCGCCCGGCAGCTCCCCGATTGGCTCTCGCGCCGGGCAAAGGTGCGTGCTGACTGGCCGGAGGGCCGTCGTCATGCGGGACGCGCGACTCTAGGGGCGGGACCAGACGAGGGGTGACTGCCGCGCGGCGCCGGGGAGGACGCCTTCACCTGTTCACACTGCAGCGCGGATTGCGGTTCGTGGCGCGCGCCACCGGGGAAGGAGCGGTGGGCCGAGGGGTGGAGGTGGGGTCCCAGGAGGACCTCGGGCTGTGGACCCGGGGAGCGGAGTCGGGGAGTGGGGCGGGGGAGCGAGGTGGCGCCCGGGAGCCAGGGATATGGCGCGGCCAGACGATGAGGAGGGGGCGGCGGTGGCGTCCGGACACCCGCTCGCGAAAGGATACCTCCCGTTGCCGAGGGGCGCGCCAGCTGGGAAGGAGAGCGTGGAGCCGCAGAACGGGCCCAAAGCGGGCACCTTCCCGGTGAACGGGGCCCACCGGGACAGCCTCGCTGCCGCCTCGGGAGTTCTGGGCGGGCCTCAGACTCCGCTGGCTGCGGAAGAGGAGACCCAGGCCCGGCTGCTGCCTGCGGGCGCCGGAGCGGAGACCCCGGGGGCCGAGAGCACCCCGCTGCCCCGAACGGCGCTCTCCCCGCGGCGCTTCGTGGTGCTCCTGATCTTCAGCCTGTACTCGCTGGTAAACGCCTTTCAGTGGATCCAGTACAGCATCATCAGCAACGTCTTCGGGGGCTTCTACGGCGTCACCTTGCTGCACATCGACTGGCTGTCCATGGTGTACATGGTGGCCTACGTGCCCCTCATCTTCCCGGCCACCTGGCTGCTGGACACCAGAGGCCTGCGGCTCACCGCCCTGCTGGGCTCCGGCCTCAACTGCCTGGGTGCCTGGATCAAGTGCGGCAGTGTGCAGCAGCATCTCTTCTGGGTCACCATGTTGGGCCAGTGCCTGTGCTCCGTGGCCCAGGTGTTCATCCTGGGCTTGCCCTCCCGCATCGCCTCAGTGTGGTTTGGGCCCAAAGAGGTGTCCACAGCTTGTGCCACCGCCGTGCTGGGCAATCAGGTAAGGACTGGAGTGGTAGATGAAAGATCCTTAGAAGACAGAAAATGTCATAGGCCGTGAGAACTATGGCCTGTGTGGATGAACTGCCCCAGGAGGTATTTGTCCATAAAAGAGGAGATAAGGCCGTTAAATAGACTTCCGGACGGTCTTGGATTGAAGAGGGCTATAGATTTCTTTGTAAGGACAGAATTTTCCAAACCACCTTGTCATCTTGCTTAGAAAATTACCTGTAAAATAATTAACTGGGCCGGGTGCGGTGGCACACACCTGTAATCCCGCCACTTTGGGAGGCCGAGGTGGGTGGATCACTTGAAGTTCGGAGTTCCAGACCAGCCTGGGCAACATGGGGAAACCCCGTCTCTATTAAAAATACAAAAATTAGCCGGGCCTGCTCGCAGGCACCTGTAGTCCCACCTACTCAGGAGGCTGAGGCAGGAGAATCTCTTGAATCCGGGAGGTGGAGGTTGCAGTGAGTGGAGATCACACCTTTGCATTCCAGCTTGGGTAACAGAGTGAGACTGTATCTCAAATAATAATAATAATAAACTGTAACCATAATAATAATAATAATTAACTGTATTGGCTTGTTTATGCCTAACATAGAAAACTTGTCAATGCAGTAATAAACAAGACTTGGGTAGGTATTATTTTTGTCACCAGTGTATTCTTTGTGAAAGGAAGGTATTGGATTCTGGAAAGATTGTTTCCATTTTGAGAGGTCATTGTGAACAGCTCCCTTTTAATTTCATATATTAACAGTCAGCGCAGTGCCTGGCACATAAAGAACACGTAAATGACTGCTAACTAACAGTTCTGGGCTGGGTGTGGTGGCTCATGCCTGTAATCTCAGCACTTTGGGAGGCTGAGGCAGGCGGATCACTTGATCAAGGCCAGGAGTTTGAGACCGGCCTGGCCAACATGGCAAAACCAAATACACAAAAATTAGTGGCGCATGGTGGTGCATGCCTGTAATCCTAGCTACTCAGGTGGCCAAGGCACGAGAATCTACATGCTTATTGCTTTATAGTCATTTCCCTAATCTAAAAGTACAGAAGATGGAGTAGGTTGAACTATAGTTGTTTGTGTGTCCAAAACAATTTATGACTGATACTTGAGTTGGTTGCATCTGCAGGTTTGGACAGAAGCTATTATAAAGTTTTTTTGTTGTTGTTGTTGTTTGTTTTTTTGTAGAAATGAGGTTTCTCCATGTTGCTCATGCTGGTCTCGAACTTCTGAGCTCAAGCTCTCTGCCCACCTCTGCCTCCCGAAGTGCTGGGATTACAGGTGTGAGCCACCACGCCCGGCCATGATTAGATTCTTTTTGTCACACATCTCTCAGTTTAAATTTATTTTAAATATTCAGTAGCATTTCTTGATCCCATTTAGAGTTGCCCAGTCACTCTCTTTACATTATTTTAATTCTCCTTATAGCACTCATCCCTGTCTTATATGTTATTGTTTACACGTTTATGTCACTTACCTATTACTCTTCTCCCATCCCCACCATTAGATTGTAAGTTTCATGAATATAGGCATGTGGTCTGAATGTACACAACTGTATCACCAGCATTTATTACTCTCCTTAAAACCATGTTGAATAAATAAAGGAGCTTCAGACTCATACGGATACTGGCCAGCTGGGTAGTCTACTTGGATATCTCATGGGAACACATCACTCAAAATTGCTTTCTCCTTGCCCATTTCCCTTTATCTCTAATGCCACTGTCTTGGTTTGGTCCGGAGCTTGCTAATTGTCCTCCCTATCTGTAGCCCTTGCTCTATTCCCTCTGTTCTCTACATTCATCCAGTGTGGTCTTTTACATGTGTGAATCTGTTCAGGGCACATCCTTACTCCTGCAGTGGCTTCCATTGTCCTTAGGATAAAATTCAAACACTAATGCAACATATGGTACCCTCCAGATCTGCCTCCTGCCAGCCCTTCCTCTTTATCTGTCTCCACAACCCCTGTCCCCACAGACGTATGCTTTCTCTGCTCTATGCGGAACTATGCATACTTACAGTTTCTCACAAGGTCATGCCCTTTCCCTCCTGGCCTTGTATGTAATGTCCTATTGGCTTGGAATATTTCTTCACTTGACTAACTCCAATTTCTTATTCAGATCTTTCCTCCTCCAGGAACTTTTTCTGAACCCCATTTCTTTTTTTTTTTTTTTTTTTTTCGAGACGGAGTCTTGCTCTGTCGCCCAGGCTGGAGTGCAGTGGCGCAATCTTGGCTCACTGCAAGCTCCGCCTCCCGGGATCACGCCATCCTCCTGCCTCAGCCTCCCGTGTAGCTGGGACTACAGGCGCCCGCCACCGCACCCGGCTAATTTTTTGTATTTTTGGTAGAGACGGGGTTTCACCGTGTTAGCCAGGATGGTCTCGATCTCCTGACCTCGTGATCCTCCCGTCTCGGCCTCCCAAAGTGCTGGGATTACAGGTGTGAGCCACTGCGCCCGGCCACCTGAACTCCATTTCTTTTACTTCATTCTTTTTGATAGCTGAATAATATTTCTGTGTAAGGTGCTCCCCCAAAGTACTCTCTTAACTACCAAGATCATATGTCCCAGTTTGCCTGGGATAGTCCAGGTGGTACACCTGTTGTCTGGTATAATTACTAATGAAGTCCCTTTCATTCTGAAGAGTGTTCTGGATGGATAGTAAATTACGTGGTCTTCCCAGTCTTGGCCCTCTTTATGTCTCAATCACAGTTCTGTATTACCACACTGTCTTGTAATTACCAGTTGTATTCTCTCTATCCAGCTTTTTGTAAGGCAGCAAATGAAATATATGATAATTGTGACTCTGTGCCTCAGACTCCTTTCTTGGGCCCTTTCTCTTCACGCCCTTCCTCCTAAAAATCTTCCTCCTAAAAACCTTCCTTCATTGAACCTCCTAATAGTTTGATTTTAATTCTTGTTGTGATTATGATATTTAGCCATATTTTTTGTTGAGGTAAAATTCACATAACATGAAACTAACCATTTTAATGTGTACAATTCAGTGGCATTTAGTGCATTTACAGTGTTGTGCAACTGTTACTTCTATCTAGTTTCAAAACATTTTTATCCACCCCCAAAGAAGACCCAATACCTACTAAACAGTCACTTCCCCACCATTGCCTCCTCCCCTAGCCTGTGGCAAGTACTAATCTCCCTTCTCTTTCTGTGGATTGACCTTTTTTGTTCTGGATATTTCATATAAATGGAATCATACAGTAGGTGACCTTTTGTGTCTGGCTTCTGTCACTTAGCTTATTTGCAAAGTTCATCCATGTTGTAGCACTGTATCAGTACTTCATTCCTTTTTAATAGCTGAATAATTTCATTGTATGAATATACAACGTTTTGTTTATCCACTTATCTGTTGATAAACGTTTGTGTTATTTTCACCTTTTGGTTATTGTGGTAATGTGAATAGGGCTGCTATGAACATTCATATATAATTATTTGTTTGAATTTCTGTTTTCAGTTTTTGGGACATATACCTAGAGGTATAATTGCTAGGTCATATGGTAATTCTATGTTAAACTTATTAAGGAACTGCCAAACTGTTGTCTGCAGTGGCTGCACCATTTTATAGTTTCACCAGCAGTATTCAAGGGTTCCAATTTGTCCACATTCTTGCCAACACTTTCCTATTGCTATTATTATTATTATAGTAGCCATGCTACCTGGTGTGGAGTGGTATCTTATTATAGTTTTGATTTGGGCATGTTTTCAAATGTTTATTGACCATTTGTATATCTTCTTTGGAGAAATGTCTCTTCAAGTTTTTTGCCCATTTTTAAATTGGGATATTGCTTTTTTGTTGTTGAGTTGTAATCGGTATTTATAGATTCTGGAAGCTATACCCTGATCAGATATATAATTTACAAATACTTTCTCATTCTGTAGGTCATCTTTTGTCAGCCTTATTTTGCATATTCTTATTCCCCTTTTGTAGGCATCTACAGGGCAAGGACTGTATATTACACAGCTTGATAGCAGCATCACTCAGATGGTAGGAACTCAGTAAATGTTTTTTGAATAGGAAAGCTATTGGTCAGCAGTTTCCCTTTAACAATACAATAGTAAAAAAGACATTGGAACATAGTAGTTTAGGCTGGGTGCAGTGGCTCATGTCTGTAATCCAGCACTTTGGGAGGCCGAGGCAGGCAGATCATGAGGTCAGGAGTTCGACACCAGCCTGACCAACATGGTGAAACCCCGTCTGTACTAAAAATACAAAAATTAGCTGGGCGTGGTGATGTGTGCCTGTAATTCCAGCTACTCAGGAGGCTGAGGCAGGAGAATTGCTTGAACCTGGGAGGGACAGGTTGCAGTGAGCCGAGATTGCATCACTGCACTCCAGCCTGGGTGACAGAGTGAGACTTTGTCTCAAAAAAAAAAAAAAGAACATAATAGTTTAATTTTCAAAGCACCTTTATAAACACCAGCTGTCCTCTTTATGTTCTGTTAATTGCCAGCATTTACTTTTTTCTCTAATGATAATAGCTGTTAACAGGACTATGTGTTTTTCAGCTTGGAACTGCAGTTGGCTTTTTGCTACCACCAGTTTTAGTACCCAACACACAGAATGACACAAATCTCCTGGCTTATAATATCAGCACCATGTTTTATGGAACATCAGCTGTTGCCACACTTTTATTTATTTTAACAGCAATTGGTAAGTGAATTACTTTCCCTAAAGCTTAAATGAATGCATGATAGAAATTTGAGGATGACTAACTCTGGAAATTTTTGTTGATAATATCTCAAGTGTCATATGCTTGTTTCATTCTTCCATGCCCTGTCTTGCTTAGGTAATGAATGCTACAACCCTAGGGATGTTATGGCCCACTACATCTGTTTTCACATCGTAAAGGGTTTGAGGACTAATTCATTTATCTCTCTACTAACTTTTCTTCTTGGTAACTGTTGGTTTCAAATATATTACCTGCCTCCTTTTCCCATATTCGCCTACATGATCTGCATCTTATGCCTTTTATGCCTACCTAGCCAGGAAAAAGTTCTTGCCATACTTTGAAGTGATGCCTGTAGGCTATGGTCTTTCTGGTAATGCTAAATTCTCCCAAGATTTCCAATTTAACAATTAACTGGATCTGAAAATGTTGACTAGTGAATGGTCCTGGGCAGCAGCTGTTCAGCAGAATTTCAAACTGTGGCAACTATCTACTTGTTAGGCCACTCCAGCAAAGCACGGCTGCCACCACCCGTCACTGAGTCCTCTCGTCTGGGCCTGTCTCTTGAAGCAGTCAGTCAAAATCAGCTGCAAGCAGCCATCATCAGTTTGGAAGAAGCTTTGGGAAGGTCTGCTTTTTAAAGTTTATTTTTAATGGGAAACTTTTGATTTCAGGGAAAAGGATAGGTAAGGTTTATTTAAGTAATATAGCTGCTAGCATAACTATAATATTGCCCTTTAGGCACTCATATCTGAAATTGATTTGAAGAGGAAAATAACTAATAAAGTTGAAATGCTATCTTTTAATCATTCAAATTTATAATTTCAATATAGCTGGAGTTTCAAAATTTTTATACTCGTTTTTACAATGGCTATAATAGTAATGGAAAATTCATATTTTATGATCTCCAGATATAAAATCCTTAGTTTTCAAAGAAATGTATGCTGAACATTCTAGAGTGTTTGAATAGAGACTGCCTTGGTAGATGAACTGCAGGATCCAGGTACAGGAAGGTCAGCCCACGTACTTAATTTCCCTTAATATAATGAGCAGAATGTTCTCTTGGTATCATATGAAGTATTCCAACATGTCTAATCCACTTATTGGTTTTTGTTTTCAGTTAGTTAGGGAATGGCATATTTGTGATGTGCAGACTACTAAAAAGGACACATTATTCCTATCCTATTTTAGCAGTTTAGTAAAGTTTTAAAAGAAATTTGTATTCTTAAAAAAAAAAAAAACACCAAAATTATTAAGTCTACTTTTCTGGTAGCCATGTTTGATTTGCTAGATGAAATAGGAAATACATTTTGCATAAATGGACCTTCCATTTGCAATAGGGAATTTTTTTTTTTTTTTTTTTTTTGATACAGAGTCTTGCTCTGTCACCCAGGCCAGAGTGCAGTGGCATGATCTCAGCTCACTGAAGCCTCTACCTGCTGGGTTCAAGTGATTCTCCTGCCTCAGCCTCCCAAGTAGCTGGGCTTACAGGCATGCACCACCATGCCCAGCTAATTTTTGTATTTTCAGTAGAGACAGGGTTTCACCATGTTGGTCAGGTTGGTCTTGAACTCCTGACCTCAAATGATCCACCTGCCTCAGCCTCCCAAAGTGCTGGGATTATAGGCATGAGCCACTGTGCCTGGCCAGCAATAGGGATTTTTAAAGTATAGAATTCTCTTTTCTTTTTTTTATCGAGACGGAGTCTTGCTCTGTCACCCAGGCTGGAGGGCAGTGGCGCTATCTGGATTCACTGCAATCTCTGCCTCCTGGGTTCAAGCAGTTTTCATGCCTCAGCCTCCCTCCCTGGAATTACAGGCGTTTGCCACCGCACCTGGCTAATTTTTTGTGGGTTTTTTGTTTTGTGTTTTTTTTTTTTGAGACAGAGTCTTGCTCTGTCAGCCAGGCTGGAGTGCAGGGGTGCAATTTCGACTTACTGTAACCTCTGCCTCCCAGGTTCAAGGAATTCTCGTGCCTCAACCTCCCAAGTAGCTGAGATCACAGGCGCATGCCACCATGCCTGGCTAATTTTTGTATTTTTAGTAGAGACAGGGTTTCACCATGTTGGCCAGACTGATCTCGAACTTCTGACCTCAGGTGATCCGCCTGCCTTGGCCTCCCAAAGTGCTGGGATTACAGGCCTGAGCCACGAAGCCCGGCCTTTTTTGTGTGTGTTTTCAGTAGAGACGGGGTTTCACCATGTTGGCCAGTCTGGTCTCGAACTCCTGACCTCAAACAATCCGCCTGCCTCGACCTCACAAAGCGCTGGGATTACTGGCATGAGCCACTGCACCTGGCCAAAATTCTCTTTCTTTTGATTGCTTTTGTGTCTTCACATAAATTCCAGTTTTCCTTTTTTTTTTTTTTAAATCCTCTTCAATTGCTTGTCTCAGAAAGAAGTGAGAAAGTAAGAGATTGCATGTAAGATATCACAAAATCATACATGTGATGTGTGTATGTTTAAACTGCTACAAATATAAGATTTTTACTTGTTGAAGGAGGGAGACCAAGAATGTTATTATAATAATAGGTATGACTATTGGCATATTACCCTTTGTTATTTGAGAAATTAAAAGAGAGAGCTAATTATGTACTTAACTAATTATGTACTCATGGCCTACAGGTAGAGAATGGAAATAGAAATGAGAGGAAAATAATGGGAAAAATGCCTTTAAAAAAAGGCTCTTGGTCAATTTTTGCTTGGAGGACTCTAATTTTAATTTTATGATCCCAAACATATTATAAAAGCAAGATAATATGTAGTTGTGATATGAAAGTCTTAAGTTGAAAATTGTGACATTTAAATAGAACATGTACTTGTTTTCCTCGTTCCCAAATATTTGCTGTTGAGCAAACTTTGGATTATTTAAAAAATCCATACCAAATAAAGTTCCTTAATTACTAAAAGGTGATTTTACTTCTCTCTAAATTCTACCCATAGTTACTTTGGAAGTCCCACCAAATTCTTACAAAATAATTTAATTTTGTTAAGGTTTTTCAGCAATGTGACATGTACTAAATTGATAGCAGTCTACTTAAAATATTGTCTCAAAGGTTCATGCCATGTAATTCTGTTCCTCTCCCTCATGGAGCTTATATTGAGTATAATCCATCTAGTGTTTCCAGGAATTAACCCAAGTATTCCACTGAATTTCACACTAATACTATTCCTATTAGGAGAACTCTATTATATCCTCAAATATTTGGTTTGTTGATATGTACCAAACGTGTTTAGAGGCTTACTACATGCTGTATATCATTTAATCCTCATGACTGTATGAGGAAGGTACCAATATTATTCCCATTTTATAGATGAGGAAACAGACACAGAATTTAGTTAAATCTAATTTGTCCAAGGTCTTAGTAAACACTGAAGGTCAGACTTAAGCCTAGACAATTTAACTCCATATATAAAAGTTACAGATAAAAATATATCATTTTAATTTTTACTGAGCCTATTTTTTGTTCGAATTCAGATTCTTGCATAAGTGGTAATGCTATTGTATTTAAAAGCTGTTCTTGTGCAGCAGAGCAGTAAACTATGTCATTTAACTCATGTGTCAATTAAAATACTTTCCTGTCAGGCCGGGCGCGGTGGCTCACGCCTGTAATCCCAGCACTTTGGGAGGCCAAGGCGGGTGGATCACGAGGTCAGGAGATCGAGACCATCCTGGCTAACAGGGTGAAACCCTGTCTCTACCAGAAGTGCAAAAAATTAGTCGGGCGTGGCGGCGGGCGCCTGTAGTCCCAGCTACTCGGGAGGCTGAGGCAGGAGAACGGCGTGAACCCGGGAGGCGGAGCTTGCAGTGAGCCGAGAACGCGCCACCCCGTCTCAAAAAAAAAAAACCAAACCTTTCCTGATTCACTAAATTGAGTGGATGACAGAAGCCAAAAGTAATCACAATAAAAATATTTAATATTAATGTACTTAAACACATAAGCATATAATGTGTGTATAATTTTACTTTTGATTCTTTTTTAAGAGATGGGGTCTCACCCTGTCACCCAGGCTGGAGTGCAGTGGCACAATCTCAGCTCACTGCACCCTCGCTCTCCTGACCAGACTCAAGCAATCTTCCTACCTCAGCCCTCTGAGTAGCTGGGACTACAGGTGTGCGCCACCATGCCTGGCTAATTTTTATATTTTTTGTAGACAGGGTTTCACCATGTTGCCCAGGCTGTTTCCAGCTTGCCTTGGGCTCCCAAAGTGCAGGAATTACAGGCATGAGTCACCATGCCCAGCTGCTTTTGATTCTTAATTCAGGATATCTATAAACTTTATTTTGGCCGGGCGTGGTGACTCACGCCTGTAATCCCAGCACTTTGGGAGGTCGAGGCAGGCGGATCACGAGGTCAGGAGATTGAGACCACCCTGGCTGACACGGTGAAACCCCGTCTCTACTAAAAATACAAAAAATTAGCCGGGCGTGGTGGCGGGCGCCTGTAGTCCCAGCTACTCGGGAGACTGAGGCAGGAGAATGGCCTGAACCCAGGAGGCGGAGCTTGCAGTGAGCCGAGATCACGCCACTGCACTCCAGCCTGGGCGACAGAGTGACACTCTGTCCGCCCCCCCAAAAAAAACAAAAACAAAAACAAATAAACTTTATTTTATTTTATTTTGAGACAGAGTTTAGCTCTTGTTGCCCTGGCTGGAGTGCAGTGACGCGATCTCGGCTCACCGCAACCTCCGCCTCCCGGATTCAAGCCATTCTGCCTCAGCCTCCTGAGTAGCTGGAATTACAGGAGGGCGCCACCACACATGGCTAATTTTGTGTTTTTAGTAGAGACAGGGTTTCTCCATGTTGGTCAGGCTGGTCTCAAACTCCTGACCTCAGGTGATCCGCCTGTCTCGGCCTCCCAAAGTGCTGGGATTATAGTCGTGAGCCACCATGCGCGGCCCGGCTGCATACTTTTAACAGAAATACATTTAACTTAGTCTGTAAGAATTTCAAGCTCCTGAGGTAGTCTCTGATTTTTTAAAATAAATGTTCGTCCAAAAAAGACAATATATTTTGTATTGTACTTGATAATTACAGAATTATTTTACATATATTGTATCATGTAATCTTCATAACAGCTTGTTATTGTTATTTACATTTTATGGATGAGAAAGCTGTAAAGGCGAGAGACAGGGATTTACTTCCTCAAAGTCATACAGTGAGCTGAGGCAGAGCCAGGATTCAAACATTTATTTGTCTTTTAATAACCTAATATATGTAATATATGCCTGGATCACACAGGGACAAATAATGAAATTTTTAAAATGTTAAAATATGATTTAAGAAGTAAAAGTGGCCCTAAACAGCAATAGATTTACAACATATTCATCACAGGAGGAAAAGTTTGAATGTGGTGCTCGAGAATATTTTGGCTACTTTATAAGACTAACGCCAGAAGTGGAGAATAACTGCTTCAAATAATCAATTGTTTTATTGGTGCAAATTTTTGGTTGGGAGAAGACAATAGAAAGCTATTATTTTTCTGTTTCAAAGGAGAAAGAAGAAGCCATATTTCATCCTTTAAAAGTAGCAGCTAGGCGTAAACAAGGTCATAGATCTGTGGCTTTTTGTTTCTCTTTCTTCAAGTAGACTTAAGTTCGACTTTCCTACAACATGTAGCTGGTAAATACAGGCTTGATTTTTGCCAAAAGATAGTTTGACTTCCTGAAACTAAAAGATAACTCTTGTATTTAAAAAAAAATAAGTGTAGTGGATTTAAAGACTGGTAAGAAGTATTTTCTTTTCTTTTCATTTTTGAGACACAGTTTCACTCTGTCGACCAGGCTGGAGTGCAGTGGTGCGACCTCAGCTCACAGCAACCTCCGCCTCCTGGGTTCAAGCGATTCTCCTGCCTCAGCCTCCCAAGTAGCTGGGATTAAGGCACCCACCACCCCTGGCTAATTTTTGTGTTTTAAGTAGAGACAGGTTTTTGCCATGTTGGCCAGGCTGGTCTCCAACTCCTGACCTCTGGTGATTTGCCCGCTTCAGACCTCCCAAAGTGCTGGGATTACAGGCGTGAGCCACTGCGCCCAGCCAGAAGTCAGAAGTATTTTCATTTTTGCATTTCAGTTCAGATTTGAGCCATTTAGATTTATTTTGCCATGGTAAATAAAAAAGTAAGAGACTTAAGATTCATTAAGTACCCATGACTACCTAGTAAGCATAGCTTTTACTTTCTGAAACTTCGTTTTATAACTATATGAGTTCTGCATTACAAATCTTAGTAAAAAGAGATATTTCCTATCTGATTAGGATACAAAGAGACTCAGAAAAGGACAACAGACATCCTAACAGTACAAGATCAGATAGAATGAAAGGAAGAGGAGGATTTGCAACTTAAACCTTTTATGTGTACCAGCCTTCCAATGTAAGGATATTAAAAAGTAAATATTTATGAGTTATATCTCCACTTTAATTAGTTGTGAGATCTGTAAAAATAGAAGTATATTTTAGTTTGGTAAGTTTTAGTTATATCACAGTTAATGTGTTGGTCAGCAATGAACTATAATTTAAAACATTTTTAGCAGCAAACAGGAAAATTAGAGAATTACAGTATTTCATGGAAATTTTAAGGGTCGTTTCTTACTTTCCCAGTGATTGTTTCTCCCTGGCTGCTTTTCAAAAGCATTTGGGGAGTTTTGTGTTTAAAACAGTTTCTTTGGCTTCATCCTGGAGTTTCTGATTCATTGAGCCTTGGGTAGAATCTCAAAATCTTTATTATTTTTAAATTTCCAAATGATTCCAGTTGATAGGTCCATCAGATATAACCCTCTTTCAAACTACAAAGCAGGTCTTCCTTGTTGGAAGAAAGAAATAGCCAATTAAAAAAAAAAAAAGAAATCCTAATTTCTATTAAAAAATGTTTTTTCTTACTGTCTGGCTGAGGATGGCAGAGAAATCCAAATTTCTAAAAAAAATTCCTAAACAATGTTATTTTCTGATTCCATTTACCTTCTTTTTTCTTTCTGTTTTTTTGTTTTGTTTTGTTTTTTGAGACAGTCTCACTCCGTTGCCTAGGCTGGAGTGCAGTGGCACAATCGTGGCTCACTGCAACCTCCACCTCCTGGGTTCAAGCAATTCCTGCCTCAGCCTCCCGAGTAGCTGGGACTCCAGGCATGTGCCACCATTAATGCCTGGCTAATTTTTGTATTTTTTTGTAGAGATGGGGTTTCACCATGTTGGCCAGGCTGGTCTCAAACTCCTGACCTCAAATGATCCACCTGCCTCGGCCTCCCAAAGTGCTGGGATTACAAGTGTGAGCCACTGTGCCGGGCTTCTTTTTTCTTTTTGAATTTACCCTGTTTCATCAATCCCAAGGTATACTTTTTTCATGAAATCTCTGAAATCAAGATGCCTTTAATAATCAGTGGCATCTAACATTTGTGGTAATTGAGACATGGTTATGTGAAAACCTTCTATTGATACCTGGCAAGATCATTGACTGCAAGCATTAGAGTATTTTAGATTCAATGAAGTACAGTATTTTCCTACTATTGTAGTTAACAATTTTGAGACACTTTAAAGTTTGGAGTCAATACAAAGACTAGATTTTAATTTCTGCTGTACCGTATTTTAGCAGTTCAGCCCTTCTGTAAATAGTTTTTTGTGTTTTTTTGTTTGTTTTTTACAGACAAGGTCTTGCTTTATCACCTAGGCTAGAGTGTAGTGATATGATGATCCCAGCTCACTGCAGCCTTTACTCCTGGGCTCAATGAAGTGATTCTGAAGTGATCCTCTCACTTCAGCCTCACAAGTAGCTAGGATTATAGGTGCATGCTGCCATGCCTAGCTAGTTTAAACAATTTTTTTCTAGCAACAGTCTTGTTCAAATGATGCTTCCACTTTGACCTCCCAAAGTGAGCACCATGCCTGGGCTATGAATTAGTCTTGACTTCTGGTTAGCCTAATCCTAAAGAAATCTCTCTATAGCCATCTTTTGTGGAAAGTTGGTTGATCCTTTCCTGCACAGCTAAAAGGTGGTCTCTAGACGTGTGCCTGGGATGGCTGTGAAATTTCTAACTAGAAATGGACAGTGCTGAAACTTATAGTATCAGACACCATATACTACACTTTTATGTCTCTTAGCTCTACCCCTGTACTTTCCATATGCAGCTCAAGTGAGTTAGTAAGACCTAGCTCTGCTTCCATGAATCCACCTGAAGTTTTTCAATCCCAGAGGTGCAATTGGATCAGATGATAAACTTTATATCAAATTTCAGAAGAACATGGTTACTAACTCAAGTCCTTTAAAAGTTCAATAATATATTGGCTTCTTCATATCTGATTTTTTATTTCTCTCTTCTATTTTCCTTTTTTTTTTTTTGAGAGAGGGTCCTGCTCTGTTGCCCAGGCTGGAGTGCAATGGCGCAATCACAGCTTACTGCAGCCTTGACTTCCCAGGCTCAAGGGTTCTTCCCGCTTCAGTCTCCCAAAGAGCTGGGATTACAAGCATGAGCCACTGTGCCCAGCCTTCATGTTTATCTCTAATTACAAATTGAACTGAATTTAAAAGGAGAGTTGTTGAATATTTGATGTAGTAAACATTAGTCTTTCTTAGGTAAATAGAATAATCAGTCAGCAAGGTTGTGGCATGTTATTGATGGTTTTGCAGTTCATTATGTGAAATTGGCCATATCTCTGAGTTTTAGTCAGTTTCAGAGAACTGAGATGACAGTGTTAAACTATTCTTCACTTAGAAATCAGTGAAAATGAAAACCCTCACCATAAAAGGCTTATACTACCTCTTTAAACTTAGACTGTGTTCTGTCTGCTCACTAAGGAAGATACATATAATTAATTACTTATTGTAATATATAACAACATATCATACATATATTAAATATACATAATCTTTTTATATATATTCTCAGCCTTCAAAGAAAAACCTCGGTATCCACCAAGTCAGGCTCAAGCAGCTCTTCAAGACAGTCCCCCTGAAGAGTACTCCTATAAGAAATCAATAAGAAACCTGTTTAAAAACATTCCTTTTGTCCTTCTGTTGATCACTTATGGTAAGTGGTTTTCTTGTACTTTCTTTAATGTCTGTGTGAGCCTTTCAGCGTTGTGAATTCTTTTCATTTAACCTAGTGGTTTGAACTTCTATGAGATTGGCCTGTTAACTCTATAGCATAATCATGAATTTAAATTTTAAACTAAAAGCAGAAAATCCAGGATGGATCTTCTTACATGTTTTTAAAAATAATAATTTTTAAAAAGTAGTTTTTGGCCAGGCATGATGGCTCATGCTGGTAATCCCAGCACTTGGGTTGGCCGAGGTGTGTGGATCACTTGATGTCAGGAGTTTGGGACCAGCCTGGTGAACACGGTGAAACCCCATCTCTACTAAAAATACAAAAATTATCTGGGTGTGATGGCACATACCTGTAATCCCAGCTACTCGGGTGGCTGAGGCAGGAGAATCGCTTGAACCTAGAAGGCAGAGGTTACAGTGAGCCAAGATTGCGCCACTGCACTCCAGCCTGGGCAACAGAGTGAGACTATCTCAAAAAAAAAAGAAAGAAAGAAAAGTAGTTCTCAAATAGAGAAACTCAGTCTTCCTTTGTGAGTTCTCATGGAGTGTTTTAGGCCATTTGTGAACTATAGTTATACCGATATAAGCATGTGGGAAATGCTATCAGCAATACCTTTCTTTGACACTGCAAGCTGGCATCTGTTTTGACTTCTCAGTCAAAACTAGACATTAAGGAACTCACCTTAACCCATTTTGACATCTAAGAAAATTCTCTCTCTCCAGATCTTTCAGGATAGCTGACAGGTATTCATCCTGACACTGTAGGTTTGACTACAGACACCAACACACTTGGTTTTCTTCAGAGTTTTCTGACAGTTCATTCTTTGTTTCTTGTGTTAACACCATTTACGTGAACACCAGCACTCCCTATTTCTGTCTTACTTGCCTCCAGAAATCACTCACTGCTATTCTCTGTTTCACATTTTTTGGGGATACAAACCCTGGTACATAAATGTTTTACAAGTTATAGCAGATTAAGTCCTGACCTAAACTATTTTTACCAGGATTAGTTCTTTTTTTTTTAGTAGAAATTACTCATCACCAAAGTTGAACATTTAACCTAATAAATTCCTATATACCTATGTCCTGTGTATGCCATCACCCAGCTTCAACAGTTATCAACATTTTGCCATTCTTGCTTTATCTATTTCCTACATTTTTTTCCTGGAATGTATTTTTTTGAGATGGAGTTTCACTCTTGTTGCCCAGACTGGAGTGCAGTGGTGCGATCTCAGCTCATTGTATCCTGCACCTCCCAGGTTCAAGCAATTCTTCTGCCTCAGCCTCTCGAGTAGCTGGGATTACAGGTGCCTGTAACCACACCTGGCTAATTTTTCATATTTTTAGTAGAGATAGGGTTTCACCATGTTGGCCAGGCTGGTCTCAAACACTTGACCTCAGGTGATCTGCCCGCCTTGGCCTCCGAAAGTGCTGGGATTACAGGTGTAAGCCACCACGCCCAGCCTTTCCTGGAATATTTTAAAGCAAATCCCAGATGCCGTATCATCTCATCCTTATATATTAATACTTTTGCATGACATAGTTCATTTTCTTAATTTTGCTGGTTACCTCCTTGTTTAGCTTAAACCTAAAATTCCTAATTAGATACAGAGAAAATATAGTGGCTTATTGTTAAATAGTAGAGCAAATTAATTTCTTTTGCCTGTCATTTAAGGTGGCTTTTTTCTTTTGTTTTTTTTTTTTTGAGACAGAGTCTCGCTCTGTCACCCAGGCTGGAGGACAGTGGCGCAATCTCGGCTCACTGCAACCTCTACCTCTCAGGTTCAAGCAATTCTCCTGCCTCAGCCTCCCTAGTAGCTGAGATTACAGGTGCATGCCACCATGCCCGGCTAATTTTTGTATTTTTAGTAGAGGCGGGGTTTCACCATGTTGACCAGGCTGGTCTCAAACTCCTGACCTCGTGATCTGTCTGCCTTTGCCTCCCAAAATGCTGGGATTACAGGTGTGAGCCACTGCATCTGGCCTGGCTTTTTGTTATCACTCTTTTATCACTCACTTTCCCAATACAAAATTCTCTTTCAGCCACACTTATAACTAACCCCCTGTCACAGACATACACAAGCACACACACACAGACACATCTCCACATGATATACACTGTTAATTCTAGTCTCTGTAATTTTGTGCCAATATTTCTTTTACCGGAAATGTGCTTCTTTTTTCTGTAAGCAATCCTGCAAGAGCTAGCTTAATCTTTGCCTCACTTATTGTTCATTTTGGTGTTCATTCTTTTATTTATTTATTCCATCAATAGCTGTCAAATACCAACTAAATGTATAGTAGTGCTCTAGATGTTTTGTGGCTAGAAAGAGGCATGATATATGATTTCTGTCCATAGGAAATTGATCATCTAACTGGGGAGATAATATAAACATCTGAAAAGTAAGCAACATTACAGTTGGTATTTATCAAAAGGATAACAACACAAGATAAGTTGTATGGCAAGTGCATGCTGAAGGCCTTCATTGAGACCTATCATTGAGAAAGGATAAATGAAGGGAAGGCCTAGGGATGGCAGGGAGAGTCTCACAGAAGGGAGTGGTTGAGCTGGGCCTTGAAGAGTGGGTTGGATTTGAATAGACAAAGGGGAGGAAGAAAATAGCACCAGCGAGGGTGTTAGATTGTGCCTTCAGTGAACACTCAGGTATCTGTGGAGTTTTGGTGTCTTTGTACCACATTGCTTAATACTTACTGGGGCTGGGCACAGTGGCTCACGCCTGTAATCCTAACACTTTGGGAGGCCAAGGTGGGTGGATCACTTGAGGCCAGTTCAAGACCAGCCTGGCGAACATGGCAAAACCCCGTGTCTACTGAAAATACAAAAATTAGCTGGGCATGGTGGTGTGCACCTGTAGTTCCAGCTACTCGGGAGGCTGAGGCAGGAGAATCACTTGAACCCGGGAGGCAGAGATTGCAGTATTATGAGATCGTGCCACTGCACTCCAGCCTGGGTGACGGATCAAGACTCTATCTGAGAAAAAAACAAAAAAACAAAAACCTTGATTATACATAAATGATTAAGTTAATTGCAATATCAGTTTTGTTGGTTTCTGACTCTGTCACCCAGGCTGGAGTGCAGTGGCGTGATCTTGGCTCACTGCAACCTCCACTTCCCGGGTTCAAGCGGTTCTTTTGCCTCAGCTTCCCGAGTAGCTGGGACTACAGGCAAGTGCCACCACACTTGGCTAATTTTTGTGTTTTTAGTAGAGATGGGGTTTGGCCATGTTAGCCAGGTTGGTCTCGAATTCCTGACCTCAGGCATCATCTAGGTATTAAGCCTAGCATCCATTAGCTATTATTCCTGATGCTCTTCCTCCCCCAAACCCGAAATGTCCCAATGTTTGTTGTTTCCACCCTCGTGCACCATGTGTCCCTCATTCCGCTCCCACTTTTAAGTGAGAATGTGTTGTATTTGGTTTTCTGTTATTGCCTTAGTTTGCTGAGAATAACTGCTTCCAGCTCCATCCATGTCCCTGCAAAGGACATGATCTCATTTCTTTTTTTTTTTTTGAGACAGAGTTTCACTCTTATTGCCCAGGCTGGAGTGCACACAATCACGGCTCACTGCAACCTCCGCCCCCCAGGTTCAGGTGATTCTCCTGCCTCAGCCTCCCGAGTAGCTGGGATTACAGGCATGTGCCAACATGTCCGGCTAATTTTTGTATTTTTAGTAGAGACAGGGTTTCACCATGGTGGTCAGGCTGGTCTCGAACTCCTGATCTCAGGTGATCCACCTGCCTCAGCCTCCCAAAGTGTCAGGATTACAGGCATGAGCCACCGCACCCGGCCTGATCTCATTTCTTTTTGGCTGTATAGTATTCCATGGTGTAAACATACTACGTTTTCTTTATCCAGTCTATTGTTGATGGGCATTTGGGTTGATTCCATGTCTTTGCTATTGTGAATAGTGCTGCAGTAAACATACATGTGCATATATCTTTATAACAGAATGATATATGTTCCTTTGGGTATATACCCATTAATGGGATTGATGGGTCAAATGGTATTTCTGCTTCTATATCTTGGGAATTGTCACACCGTCTTCTACAGTGGTTGAATTAATTTGTACTCCTTCCAGCAGTGTAAAAGTGTTCTTTTTTCTCCACAGCCTCGCCAGCATCTGTTGTTTCTTGACATTTTAATAATCGCCATTCTGACTGGCATGAAATGGTATCTCATTGTGGTTTTGATTTGCATTTCTGTAATTACCAGTGATGTTGAGCTTTTTTTCATGTTTGGCCACATGAATGTCTTTTGACAAGTGTTTGTTCATGTCCTTTGCCCACTTTTTATTGAGGTTGTCTTTTTCTTGTAAATTTAAATTCCTGTAGACTCTGGATATTAGACCTTTGTCAGATGGATAAATTGCAAAAATTTTCTCCCATTCTGTAAGTCGTCTGTTCACTCTGATGATAGTTTTTGTTTTGTTTTGTTTTGTTTTTTGCTGTGCGGAAGCTCTTCAGTTTAATTAGGTGCCAACAAATGAACTTTCTGAACCTGATAAAGCTTATCTACAAAGACCCTATAGCAAGTATTATACTAAAGGCAAATGTTAGAGCCATTCTCCTTAAGAATCAATAAGAAGTATCCTTAAGGATATTTACTGTCATCACTTCCATTCAACATCTAACTGGAGGTACTGGCTGGCTCAATAACACAAGAAAAAAGAAAGAAAAGGCATATGAAACAGAAAACAGATGTTATTGCTCATACTGTAATTATGCATATCAGAGGTCAGCAAACCGTGACCCATGAGCCAAATCTGGCCATTGCCTGTTTTTATATTAAAGTTTTGTTTGTCTACATATTGTCTATAGCTGCTTTTGAACTACTAGGGCAGAGTTGAGTAGTTACATTAGTTACATCAGAGACCATATGTCCTACAAAGTTAACAAAGGTTTGCTACCTGGTGCTTTACAGAAAATGTTTGGTGATCATCCATCTATTAAAATAATATGAAAGAACCTAGAGATAGCTATTAAAACTAGTAAGAATGAGTTAGCAAAGTTACTAAATAGCTGACAATGTGAAAATATCAATTGCATTCGTATGTATTTATAAGTATTGTATTCCTATGAAAGATATCTTTTATAATAGCAACTAAAACTATAAAGATATCTTAGAATAAATATACCAAAAGAACTTCATAGAGAAAATTATAAAACATTGAAAGGTATAAAAGGAGACCCACATCCTAGGCAATGTGGCAAAATCTCATCTCTACAAAAAATACAAAAATTATCCAGACACAGTGGCCTGTGCCTCTAGTCCCAGCTATTTGTGGGGCTGAGGTAGAAAAATCATTTGAGCCCAGGAGATCAAGGATGCAGTGAGCTGTGTTTGTGCTGCTGCACTCCAGTCTGGGCGACAGAGCGAGTCTCTGTCTCAAAAAAAAAAAAAAAAAGAAAAGAAATATATTTCCACAATTGTCACATAATATTCCATGTCACTTCATGAACTGGTAAATGACACACTTTTAGTATTCTCTTTATTATTGTAGATATCATGATTTAACATCATCTTTATTATTGTAGGTATCATGACTGGTGCCTTTTATTCAGTCTCAACATTATTAAATCAAATGATATTGACATATTATGAGGTAAGCTTCTGCTTGTGTCAGATTGCATGCCTGACCAAGAATTTTTCTTTAGCAATATAATTGTCGTTAGCAGGGTCATGAGATTAAGGATTATGACATTGTTGCTATCAAATATTTACATTTGTTTTAATTGAGAATATATTTGTTAAAAAATGAAATTTCCACAACTTTAGAGATCTGATTGGCTTTTATTATCGATTCCTTTATTGGACAGCATCCCATCTAAAGATTTAGAAAGGTACTGATGAGCTGAGCAGAGGAGATGGGCTTTATAGACAGAAAAAGACTGAAGAAAGCAGAAACAAGGAGCAAAGAGCAGATTCGTTGTTACAAAGTTACTTTCCTTATAGGATTAAAACAAGGGGGACTGGGCCCCATCTGACAGGTTGCTTATGAATCTCTTTTTTTTGGAAAAGTGGCCCATTTTAAATTTCAGTTTGATTATGTGACACCTAGCGCTAGTGACACTGTTGTGTGTGGTCTGGTCTGTTGGGTCTAGTGTGGGAGCTCACTCCAAAACAATGGCCTCCTATCATTTTAATTTAACATATTTAATCCAGTTTATAAAACACACAGTATGGCCAGGCGCAGTGGCTCACGCCTGTAAACCCAGCACTTTGGGAGGCCGAGGAGGATCACCTGAGGTCGGAAGTTTGAGACCAGCCTGACCAACATGGAGAAACCCTGTCTCTACTAAAAATACAAAATTAGCTGGGCGTGGTGGCGCATGCCTGTAATCCCAGCTATTTGGGAGGCTGAGTCAGGAGAAACGCTTGAGCCTGGGAGGTGGAGGTGGCGGTGAGCCGAGATCGTGCCATTGCATTCCAGCCTGGGCAATAAGAGCGAATTCCTGTCTCAAAAAAAACAAAAAACATGCCAGACGCCGTGGCCCACACCTGTAATCCCAGCCAAGATAGCACCACTGCACTCCAGCCTAGCGACAGAGTGAGACTGCATCTCAAAAAAACAAACAAAAAAAACCACACCATATGGAAAGCAGAAGTTACTATCCCTGTGACGATACCTAAGTTTATTTTTAGGAAATAATATGATTGGTTATATGGAAAAAGACAAAACATTTTAAGGGAACTCAGCATAAATATAGATAAATAAATATCAAGTTCCGATTGACGTGTCTTTGCTTTTGAAAGGGTAAAGCAGTTGTACTATGTAAAAGCTGTCGATTAACCTCCTTTTGAGACATCGATACAGTGTCATACCTTGCTTAGTGACAGGGATACCTTCTGAGAAATTCACTAGGCAGTTTCATTGTTGTGAATATAATACAGTGTATTTCATTGTTGTGTGAGTATAATACAGTGTAGTAGGCAAACCTAATGGTGTAGCCTACTACATACCTAGGCTGTGTGGTATAGCCTGTTGCTCCTAGGTTACAAACCTGTATAGCATGTTACTTTACTGAATATTGTAGACAGTTGTAATACAATGGTAAGTATTGTGTATCTAAATATATCTAAACAGAGAAGGTAGAATAAAAATATGGTATTATAATCTTACAGGATCACTACTGTATATATGAGTCAGTGTTGAGCTAGATGTCATCATGGAACACATGACTATCTATACTTAAGAATCCTCACAAAAATCATTGTACTTCTAACCATAGAGGATTAAGGAAATTTTTCCTTTTTTATTTCTTCTGTTATTTTAGGCTTCTTTTCTTGTTTTAAAATGTAATGCTTATGTATATTCTTTACCTGCCCTCCCCTCCCACCCTAACACGTGTACTAAATCTTCCTACTGTGTGCTTAGTTTTATCTAATTATTTTCATTGACTATGAAAAGATGTGGGAATGTGAAGAGTCTGAATTAGTTAATACATTTATTTGATCAACTTCTTATGCAAATTGTTTTCAGGGAGAAGAAGTCAATGCTGGAAGGATTGGGCTAACACTAGTAGTAGCTGGAATGGTGGGCTCTATTCTTTGTGGCTTATGGCTGGATTATACCAAAACATACAAGTAAGTGAAAGTAAATACATGTATGGTGTGTAACCAAAGGTATTTTGATTTTAAAAGACAATTTGCTTTTTATTTTAAGAAATTTAAAACATGTTATTACTTAGATATGGATTCTAAACACTAGTAGGTTCTCTTCACTTAAGTGTTTCAATACTCTATGTATTGTATTATTTTATTGATCACATTTATTTCAATTTTGAGAACTTGGATACCTTATGAATCCCTTCTTTCTAACAATACTCATACCTACCACTTCACAAGGAATTATTTCTATTCTAAAAAGAGCCATTTCTGAGAAATATTTGACTTTTGATAGACTTTGTCTTTTTTTTTTTTTTTTTTTTTTGAGGTGGGGTCTCACTCTGTCACCCGGGCTGGAATGCAGTGGAACCATCTTGGCTCACTGCCACTTCTGCTCTCCAGGCTCAAGTGATTCTCCCACCTCAGCCTCCTGAGTAGCTGTGACCACAGGTGTGGACCACCACACTCAGCTAATTTTTTGACTTTTTGGAGACAGGGTTTCACCATGTTGTCCAGGCTGGTTTTGAACTCCTGAGGTCGGGCAGTCCACCCACCTCAGCCTCCCAAAGTGCTGGGATTACAGGCAGGAGCCACCATGCCCGGCCTATCTTGTTCTTTTCTTATGTTGTGGGCTTAAATACAAAAACAAAAAAGTAATTATTTCCGATCAAAAAATTATCGTTGAGCATAAGGCTTTATTTTGCTAAAAACTTTTTGGCTAAAGTACCCCCAGACTATAGTACCAGTTAACTGTAATATAATGCATAATGTGAAAGGGCTGGCTTGATACAATGTCTTACGCCTGTAATCCCAGCACTTTGGGAGGCCAAGGTGGGTAGATTGCTTAAGGCCAGGAGTTGGAGACCAGCCTGGGCAACATGGCAAAACTCCATCTCTACTGAAAATACAAAAAGTAGCTGAGTGTGGTGATAGGCATCTGTAATACTAGCTACTCAGGAGGCTAAGGAAGGAAAATTGCTTGAACCCAGGAGGCAGAGGTTGCAGTGAGCTGAGATAGCATGCCACTGGACTTCAGCCTGGGTGACAGAGCAAGATACTGTCTAAAAAGAAAAAAAAAAAAAAGAATATATTCTGTTAATTGTACATTATATGGAGCCACCAAAATGCTAATACCAAAGAAAATAAATGATACCAACTGGGAGACTAAGAAAGGGTGTCAGAGGCAGCATATTTTGCTCTGGGAGTTAAAAGAATCACCACATTTTTTAATAGGCCAAAACTTCCCCCTGTACTTGGAAATGAATGAATGAAACTAGTAATGAATAAATGAATGAAATATGGAACTGTGTCCCATGCACCTCTCAAGGCTCAAGATATATTTGATATTATTAGTCTAAACCCTACCAAAAATATCTCTAATCTTGAAATTCTCCAAGATAATTTTTCCATAATTTAAGACAACACTTACCTTAGCTTCATTATTGTAAACTGATAGCTTAGAGTGAAACCTACTTGATTTATAGATGAAGGAAGCATATGTAAAGGATTAAATTCCTTAAGTTTTTCATCCATTATTCCTTTAGAAAACTTGATAGGCATAGACGTGTGTTCTTTGCCACTGTGGCTTTCTTCTCAGGGTAACTGCCATTCATTCGCCAAACTCCTGTTGTGTGCATCTCTCTTAGATGAAAATTATGGCAAGCAGTATGTGATCCCTGTTGTTAACATGTTTGTAGTCTAAATGGAGCAAATAAGGCATTCACATGTGAAAAGTTAAATAATATAACAAACTAAAATAGATGTCATCAGTTTTATAGTACCAAAATGACAAAGGAATTTGGAAGAAAGAGAGACCCTTATAAGCTGGTGTGGTTCCAGAAGGCATTTGGAAGAGGTAGAATTTGATCCGAATCTTGAAATGTGAATAGGGAGCTATCCCATTTGGTGGCATAAAAATGATTTTATTCATAAAAAAGTATCCCCATCTGAGCATTCGATACGGTGTGGCTTTGTTTCCTGATGCTGCTGAATCTTAAATTAAAAATGCTTTAAAATTTATGCTTTGGTGGATACATTTTCCATAGACAAGAAGGGGTGAAATTTGAAAAACAAAGATTCATTACTGAACAGATAAGAGTGATGATTTTTATATGTCTAGGAGAATTAGACAAAATACTAACAACTTTGTTGTTTTTGTTTTAGACAGACTACTCTGATAGTTTATATTTTGTCTTTTATTGGAATGGTTATCTTTACTTTCACATTGGACCTTGGATACATTATCATGGTGTTTGTTACTGGAGGGGTGCTTGGGTAAGTATCAGATGTGTTTAGGAGGAGTGATAGCATGCTGTTATAATTCTGAAGTATTATTACTCTGGTCTCTAATTTTTTAAGTTCATCTAAATGTTCTTCAGTATTTTAAACTTTAAGGATTCATTCTGTGCATATAAACGTGTAATTCTTAAGAACTATTAAAATTATTTAAAATTGGTTTTTGGTATACCATAGGTTAAAAAAATGGATGAGCCTTACTTAATCTGTGTAACTTTATTTGGTTACAAAGACAGTTGACTTATAAAACTAGAAGTAAATTTTTACTAGAAGTAAATTTTTCTCAGAAAAAAATTTGGTATTTGTTGCTTCCGGTTCTGTAACCTTGAGCTGATTGGTCAATAATAATAGTTCCTTACTTTGACATAGCAACTTCAAAATATTTACTTATTTGGTCATTAGAATAAGCCTGAGATGCAGAATGATTACATCAGTATGTGATTGTGACCTTTTGATAATTCTTTCTGTAATTCTGGATTTATTTTCCTAGCTTCTTCATGACTGGTTACCTCCCTTTGGGTTTTGAATTTGCTGTTGAAATCACTTACCCTGAATCTGAAGGTACTTCATCTGGTCTTCTTAATGCTTCTGCACAGGTAAACCTCTGATTTCTCTAAACCTGAGATGATTATTGTACCAGATATTCTAGTGAGTAATGAGTTTGACCATGGTTTTATTTGTTGTTGTTGTTGTTTTGTTTTTTGGAAACAGGGTCTTGCTCTGCTACCCAAGCTGGAGTGCAGTAGTGCAGTCATGGCTCACTGCAGCTTCAAACTCCTAGGCTCAAGCAATCCTCCCTCCTCTGCCTCCAGAGTATTTGGGATAACAGGTGCACACCAGCATGCCCAGCTAAATGTTTTTTGTTATTTTTTGTAGAGAGGGGGTTTCGCCTTGTTGTCCAGGCTGGTCTCGGACTCCTGGGCTCAAGCAATTCGCCTACCTCAACCTCCCAAAGTGCTAGGATTACAGGTGTGAGCCACTGTGCCCGGCCTGACCATGGTTTTTGTTTAATAATTCAACTTTTCAATGAATGTTTCTAGAAAACAAATCATATAAACAATAAGTTAAGAAAAGTTCTGGTGAAAACTTTATACTTGTTTTAAATAAGTAAACTTAATAACAAATTATTTTTCTTATTGTATTTTAGATATTTGGAATTTTGTTCACATTGGCTCAAGGAAAGCTCACATCAGATTATGGTCCTAAGGCAGGAAACATTTTTCTCTGTGTCTGGATGTTTATAGGCATCATTTTAACAGGTAAATTAGGGCATTTGCCTGGCAAAAGGACTTGTGTCATGTGTTAATTTTTATGTATATTGCTTCTCAATAGCTTGGCAGAACTCAAGGGGAAAAAATGAGGGAAAAAGCAGGACATTATTTGTTTTCTTCTAAGGACATGAATCTATTCATTTTGCAGATTTTTCAAATTCAATATAGTTACTCTGCATAGCAAGCAAAACTGTTGTAAAAAGAGTAGTAAAGGCCTGGTGCGTTGGCTCATGCCTATAATCCCAGCACTTTGGGAAGCAGAGGCGGGCAGATTACTTGAGGTGAGGAGTTTGAGACCAACCTGGCCAACATGGCAAAACCCCATCTCTGCTAAAATTTGCCAGGTGTGGTAGCGCGCACCTGTAGTCCCCGCTACTTGGGAGGCTGAGGCAGGAAAATCACTTGAACCCAGGAGACAGAGGTTGCAATGAGTCAAGATTGCACCAGTGCACTCTAGCCTGGGCAACAGCAAGACTCTGTCTCAAAAAAAAGAGTAGTGAAGACCTGGAGTTGGGAAGACCTGGTCTCAAATTGCGATTCTGCTGCTCACTGGGAGTGTGACTTTAGACAGGTTGCTTAACCTCTCACATCCTCCTTTCCTCATTTATATAATAGAGCGTTAAAGCCTGGTTTATAGGGTTACTGTGAGGATTAATTGAAATGGTTCATGAAAAGTTCCTAGTGTCTGGCACCTGGGACGTGCCTAACACATGTTTCTACTGTTACAATGTGGTAGAGGTGGTAAGCAGTCAAGTGGTAGTGGTGGAAATAGTATGTGGAATCCTTAGCTAGTGCTTATACTTCTCAGGTATAGTCATCATAGACATGGGCAGGAAAGAAAATAGTGCTCAATCTCCAGAGAAAGAGAATGTCAAAGAATTTTTATCCATAGTTTGCCCATGCACATGGGTGTACAATAGATTTGGAAGCAAGACTTATGTTCAGAAGTATTTCCAGGTGCATGCTGGCTTGTAGTATTATTTTACTTTGTGAATTTCCTTATGTATCCCTTTACCGTCCTGAGGGACAGAAGCTTTGTGTATTCAGGAGAGATTATAGTCAGCCCTTTGTGTATCCCGTGGGTTCTTCATCTGTGGATTCAACTGTGGGTTGAAATTAATTGGAAAAAAATGGATGGTTGCATCTGCTCTGAACATGTACAGACTCTTAAAATGTCATCATTCCCTAAACATTATAGTATAACAACTATTTACATTGTATTAGGTATTAGTAATCTAGAGATGGTTTAAGTATGTAGGAGGATGTGTGTATGTTATATATAAATACTGCCCAGGGGGGTCCAATCTTTTGCCTTCTCTGGACCACATTGGAACAAGAATTATCTTGGGCCACACATGAACTACTCTAATACTAATGATAGCTAATGAGCTAAAAAAAAAAAATTGCAAAATATCTCATAATATTTTTAAAAAATTTATGAGTTTGTATTGGGCCACCTTTAAAACTGTCCTGGGCCACATATGGCCTGCAGACCACAGGTTGAACAAGCTTATACTACACCATTTCATATAAAGGAATTGAGCATTCATGGATTTTGGTATCTGAGATGGGTTCTTGGAATCAGTTCCTTGCAGATACCAAGAGAGATTGTGCTTCTTTGATCTGGTTATAACTTAGTTGGAGGACAGAATCTATCAGAAAGATGTGAATCAGAATTTCTTCTACTGTTTGTTGAATACCTGATCATTCTTTGTGAAACCTTCAATATGAAATCTCACCAGTGATAAAGATTTTGGATATACACAACTACCTAAAGTTGCTCACTCATTGTTTTATGAATGATAGGAACCTGAGCATTCATTCGTTAAGCTAAAGGAAAGTGAGTGTAGTCTGTTTCCTCAAAGAAAAAGCATCTTATCACAAGGGAGTTTTTCCCCCTATCCAATTAGTAAAATGAAACATACAAAACTGTGAAATATGTAATATATTAACAATATATTAAATAAATATGTAATATTTAACTATTCTTTCATAAGTAATTCCATGTTGGTTCTTAATTTCTAGGCAAGTACTATATCTTATCTAAGACTATTACTATTGGCTGGACGTGGTGGCTCACTGTTATATTCCCAGCACTTTGGGAAGCTGAGACAGGCGGATCATTTGGGGTCAGGAGTTCGAGACCAGCCTGACCAACATAGTGAAACTTCGTGTCTACTAAAAATACAAAAAAATTCAGCCAGGTGTGGGGGCACACACCTGTAATCTCAGCTACCTGGGAGGCTGAGGCAGAAGAATTGCTTGAACCTGGGAGGCGAAGGTTGCAGGGAGTGAAGATCACACCACTGCACTCCAGCCTGCACAACAAGCGAGACTCTGTCTCAAAAAAAAAAAGTATTATTGTTATACCAAAGAAGGGAGCAGTTTTGTAATCCCCTTTCAAATTACTTTTACAAGAGATTCATGAATACTAATTCAAACAAATCAAGTCTTGAAAAATAAGAAGTGAGAATACATCTTTAAAATTAGTTTTACATTAATGCTTTTACCATCTCAAATGCTAATTAATTTCTCTCATATGTTGAGTATTTTACTACAGAGCTTTATTATTATTATATCTGTTATGGTCTTCTGCGATAGTGATCTTTGGTGTTACTATTGTAATTGTTTGGGGACATCATGAACTACACCCATAAAAGACAGCGAACTTAATAAAGGTTTTGTGTGTTCTGACTGCTCCACTGACCAGCCATTCCTATATCTCTCTTCCCCTTATTGGGCTTCCCCTGTTCTCTGAAACATGTGATATTAACATCAGGGTCCTGATTAATACCCCTGAATTAATATCCCTACAATGGCCTCTAAGTGTTTAAGCGAAAGGAAGAGTAGTAAATCTCTCATCTTAAATCAGAAGCTAAAAATGATTAAGCTTAGTGAGGAAGTCATGTCAAAAGCCCAGAGAGCCCAAAAGGTAGGCCTTTTGCACCAAACAATTAGCCAAGTTGCTAATGCAAAGGAAAAATTCTTAAGGGAAATTAAGAATGCTACTCCATTGAACACACAAATGATAAAGCACAACATCCTTATTGATATGGAGAAAGTTTGAGTGGTCTTGTTAGAAGATCATACCAGCCACAACATCCCTGGAAACCAAAGCCTAATCTAGAGCAAGGCCCTAACTGTCCAATTCTGTGAAAGCTGAAAGAGGTGAGAAAGTTGCAGAAGAAAAGCTGGAAACTAGCAGAGGTCAGTTCATGAGGTAAGGAAAGAAGTTGTCTTCATAACGTAAAAGTGCAAGGTGAAGCAGCAAGTGCTGATGTAGATACTGAAATAAATTATCCAGAAGATCTAGCTAAGATTGTTGATGAAAGTGGCTACAATAAACAACAAATTTTCCACGTAGATGAAACAGGCTTATATTGGAAGAAGATGCCATCTAGGACTGCCATAGCTATAGAGGAGGAATCAATGTCTGGCTTCAAAGGACAAGCTGACTCTCCTGTGAGGGGTTGATGCAGCTGGTGACTTTAAATTGAAACTAATGCTTGTTGACCATTCTGAAAATCCTAGGACCCGTAAGAATTAGGCTAAATTTGCTCTGCCTAAGCTCTATCAATGGAACAATGAACCTGAAACCTGTAGTTGATAGTACATCTGTTAATAGCATGGTTTGCTGAATATTTTAAACCCATTGTTGAAGCCTGCTACTCAGAAAAACATTCCTTTCAAAATATTACTGCTCTTTGACCAATTCACCTGTTTACCCAAGAGCTCTGATGAAGATGTACAAGGAGATCAACGTTGTTTTCATGCCTGGAAATACAGCATCCCTTCTGCAGCCCATAGGTCAAGGAGTAATTTCAACTTTCAAGTCTTATTCTTTAAGAAATACATTTCAAAAGGCTGTAGCTGCCAGAAATAATTATTCCTCTCTTGGATCTGGGCAAAGTAAATTGAGAACTTTCTGGAAAGGATGCACCATCCTAGATGCCATTAAGAACATTCTTGATTCATGGGAGAAGGTCAAACTATCAACATTAACAGGAGTTTGGAGGAAGTTAATTCCCATTCTCATGGATGATTTTGAGGGGTTCAAGACTTCAGTGGAGGAAATAGCTGCAGATGTGGTGGGAATAACAAGAGAACTGGAATTAGAAGTGGAATATGAAGAGGTAACTGAATTGCTGCATCTGTAAAACTTGAACAAATGAAGGGTTGCTTCTTATGGATAAGCAAAGAAAGTGTTTTCGTGAGTTGGAATCTACTAGTAAAGATGCTGTAAATGTTGAAATGACAACAAAGGATTTAGAATATTATATAAACTTAGTTGATGAAGCAGTGGCAGGGTTTGAGAAGATTGACTCCTATTTTGAGGAAGTTTTGTGGGTAAAATGTTATCAAACAAGTATTGAACACAGAGAGATCTTTCGTGAAAGGAAGAGTTGATTAATATGGCAAACTTCGTCACTGTCTTACTTTAAGAAATTGTCACAGCCACTCCCACCTTTTAGCAACCACCACCCTGATCTGTCAGCAGCCATCAACATCGAGGCAAGACCCTCCACTAGCCAAAAGAGAACTTGCAGAAGGCTCGGATAATAATTAGCATTTTTTAGCAGTAAAGTGTTTTTTGTTTTGTTTTGTTTTGTTTTAGATGGAGTTTTGCTCTTGTTGCCCAGGCTGGAGTGGAATAGCGCCATCCCGGCTCACTGCAACTTCTGCCTCCTGGGTTCAAGTGATTCTCCTGCCTCAGCCTCCTGAATAGCTGGGATTACAGATGCCCACCACCATACCGGCTAATTTTTGTATTTTTAGTAGAGATGGGGCTTTCACTATGTTGGTTAGACTGGTCTCGAACTCCTGACCTCAGGTGATCCTCCTGCCTTGGCCTCCCAAAGTGCTAGGATTACAGACATGAGCCACCGTGCCTGGCCAGTAAAGTATTTTTAAATTAAGGCATGTAGATTGATTTTTTTTAGACATAATGCTATTGCAAACTTTAAATAGACTACAGTATAGTATAAACATAACTTTTTATGCACTGGAAAACCAAAAAATTTGTGCAGTTTCGTGATCTCGGCTCACTGCAAACTGCATCTCCCAGGTTCAAGCAGTTCTCCTGCCTCAGCCTCCCTAGCTGTTGGGACTACAGGCGCGTGCCGCCCTGTCCGGCTCACTTTTTGTTTTTACTAGAGATGGGGTTTCACTGTGTTAGCCAGGATGGTTTCAATCTCCTGACCTTGTGATCCACCCACCTCGGCCTCCCAAAGTGCTGGGATTACAGGCGTGAGCCACCGTGCCCAGCAATATTCACTCTTGTGGTGATCTGTAGCTGAACCCACAATATCTCTGAGATATACCTGCATTCCCTTCTGCCTAGAATGTCTTCCTCTCCTCTTGTCTGCTTGACAAGTTATTACTCAGTTTTTTCCAGTATCAAGTATGTCTTCTCTGGAAAGCCTTCTCTAATTTCCTTTGGCTGACGACATAGACTTTTTTGCTCCCACTTCCCCACCATACCTTGCAATTATCATACACTGTTATACTTGTTTACATGTCAAAGTTTCCCTAGATGGGAGAGTCCTTTCATAAAAAGAATTACTTTTTATTTTTGTATCATTGGTTGCTAGCATTCCCGTGTTTGTTCGATAATGAATGACTTACTAATTGTTAACAACTTCAGAGAGGTGCTATTATTTTTCAGGCTATTGGGATGCTGTTAAATATCATGACACTACAGTGTATTAAATTTGACAATACCAAGAAAGACTTTGAGCTGCTTTTAAAAAAATCTTCACAAAACAGTTTATAGTAACTCCACTGATGCCTCTCTGTTTCAGCATTAATCAAGTCGGATCTGCGAAGACACAACATAAATATAGGAATTACAAATGTTGATGTTAAAGCTGTAAGTAATGAATATTTTTATGATTATACTGTTGAGAAGTATGTATAGAATAAATGTGAAACCATGTTTTTTTATTTAGCTATTTTTCCCCCGAGTCAACTGTTGATCTGTTATAATAGGATATGCCAGATGCTATACATTTTTAATCTTCTGATTATTTTTATAGGTACCAGCTGACAGTCCCACAGACCAAGAATCAAAAACGGTTATGTTGTCCAAGCAGTCAGAATCAGCAATTTGAAGAGAAAGGAAAAGTTACTATCCTGTAGTAATTGGGGACAATGTGATCATCCTTGGAGAGATATATGAGCACCAAGACTGGGTTTGTATGTGGTGGGAGAATAGACACACTTACTTGAAAATTACCATATGAGCTCTAAATGCGTAATTATTATTTTGCTTAATTGTTAATTTAAGGGAAATTTTCTTAAAATTCTTCTGTTTACATCATGTTAACACTATTGTTTATCTAATCAGTATCCAGTTTTTAGTCTTATATTGTATCTGAAAGTAAGCTTCTTGACATTTACTTTTTAAAAGTCGATGTTTTTCTTTTTTGTAGAAAATGGAAGCTTAGAAGACTTTTTAAAGTGATAATATGGGGTGTTCAGTCCCCATAAGATATAATAGTTCATGCAGTTTATATATTAAAATATCCAGTGGAACTAAATGTACAATATATTCCTAATTGGCTGCCTTTTCACTGTGCTGACCAACTGTTCAAGCCACTTCATATGAGTACAACATACCAACATGACACTACTCACCCACAAAGGACAGCATTGGGATCAGGCTTTCAGATGACCTCTACGATTTTTCCCATTTGTTGTACTCTTGTTACAAAGTACTTCTTAACACATGCAGTCAAATGGCTACAAAAACTATTCTGTGTACAGATTCTACCCAGACTTTGGTCTTAGAATTATGTTCTCATTAAGGAGCCTGGTTATAGGCTCGTTCTGTCTTGAGTTCTGTTCTGTGCTGCCTTTCTATCATGGATAAATGCTAACACTGTATTTCTTTCATTTCAACTTGAGATAGAGTAGTTTTGTACCCATTGCCTTTTTTTTATTTTAAACTCTCTTCTTTCTTTTTCCTGATGTGTAACTTTCTAGTAAGACAATTTTATCATATATGTTACTGGCTATTTCATGTTTTCTTGTATCACATCCTATATTTTGCTTTGAAGATTCCTGAAATAAGGAAATCTGTAATAACCTCAGATAGCCTACATGTCTCCATTTAGTGGAGATCTCTTGAATGCTGTTTGAATTCTGCAGTGTCATTTTTATGACCATTCTCCTTTGAGGAATACTATTCCCAGGTACATGCTCCATCAGTGTGCCAGGGAGTGGATTCTTTTCTTCACTGCAGCGTCATCACACTGTTGGAGTTGTCTGCTCTTTTACATGCTCAGGTAGGGAAAATAGGACCAAATATATTTCCACAGTGCCTACCACTGTGTCATGTTTACAGTGAGAGGTTAAGTATTGTTGATGTCCTGACTCTGAGCTCATGGGGAGTATCTTTATAGTAATGACATTTGATCAGCCATAGAATTTACATTATGTTCATATGCACCCAAAAAAGCTAGTCAGGTAATGAATACCCTTGAAGTGAATAGCAGTTTTGATTTAGGCAGTGTGTTAGGCCATCCTTGCATTGCTATAAAGAAATACTTGGGCCAGACGTGGTGGCTCACGCGTATAATCCCAGCACTTTGGGAGACCGAAGCGGGTGGATCACCTGAGGTCAGGAGTTCAAGACCAGCCTGGCCAACATGGTAAAACCCCATCTCTACTAAAAAAATAAATAAATAAAATAAAATAAAATAAAATAAAATAAACCAGGCGCTGTGGCTGTGGCTCATGCCTGTAATCCCAGCACTTTAGGAAGCCGAGGCAGGTGGATCACGAGGTCAGGAGTTCAAAACCAGCCTGGCCAAGATGATGAAACCCTGTCTCTACTAAAAATACAAAAATTAGCCGGGCGCAGTGGCAGGCGCCTGTAATCCCAGCTGCTCAGGAGGCTGAAACAGGAGAATCACTTGAATGCGGGTGGCAGAGGTTGCAGTGAGCTAAAATCATGCCACTGCACTCCAGCCTGGGAGATAAAGTGAGACTGTCTCAAATAAATAATACCTGAGGTTGAGCACAAGCACGATGGCTTACACCTATAATCCCAGCACTTTGGGAGGCTGAGGTGGGTGGATTACTTGAGATCAGGAGTTGAAGACCAGTCTGACCAACATGGTGAAACCCCATCTCTACTAAAAATACACACACACACACAAATTAGCCGGGCATGGTGGCACACGCCTGTAGTCCCACCTTCTTGGGAAGCTGAGGCATGAGAATTGCCTGAACCTGGAAGGTGGAGGCTACAGTGAGCTGGGATTGCACCTCTGCATTCCAGCCTGGGTGACAGAGCAAGACTCTGTTTTAGGGAAAAAAAGAACAGAAATACTTTAGACTGTGTAATTTACAAATAAAAAAGGTTTAAGTGGCTTACGGTTCTGCAGGCTGTGTAAGCATGGCACCAGTGTCTGCTCGGCTTCTGGAGAGCCCTCAGGGAGATTTACTCATGGTAGAAGGCTAAGTGGGAGCAGAGGTGTCACGGCGAAGCAGGAGCAAGAGAGCGGGGAGGTGCCATACACCTTCAAACAACCAGATTTTGTGAAAACTCACTCACTACTGCAAGAATAGCACCAAGCCATGAGGGATTCACTCCCAGGACCCAAACACCTTCCATTAGGGCCATCCTGCAACATTGAGGATTACATTTCAACATGAGATTGGAGGGACAAGTATCCCAACTATATCAGGCAGAATATATGCATTGATATATATTGAAATTATAACATTCTTTATAATCAAGTTACTGTAAATTATGTAGAATCTGACCCTGGGGAATGTGTTACCTTAAGAATTTGACTAAGAATCAGGAACTCTGTGTCCATGTCCTGGATGTGTTTCTGTACGTTCCTATAACTCTGGACAAGTCGTTAAACCTCTCTGGGCAGCATTTTCCTCATCCATGAAATGGATGTGTTCAGTTTGATCTCAAAGATCTTTTCAAAATATTAAATGCTATTAATCATGGAATAGACCAAATTATTATATCACAGGAACGTGAATCCAGCCAGAGAAAAATTCCCTGGACAACAGTCAGTTGAGGGTAACTCAAGCAGAGTATGTCCAATCATTACTTCTTTTGATATTTACGTTACAGGTAAAAACAGCCAAAAATATATTTTAAGGTCTCTCCCCAAATAATTGTTTTTGTTTTTAAACTATCAGTGTTGTTTAAACTAATCATGTACTTGTTGAGTTCCTGAGGTTTTGAACAAATTACAAATGAAATTTAGAATACTTTATTTCTGCAAAGCATACACATATATGTTTGTGTATTTTTCCTTGTTAGAAAGGAGGTGAAATATGTGACAGAATGCAAAATGAATTGATAATTTTTCTGTATTTTGAGTGAAAGTTGTCTGTAATATGTCAAACAAGAATGTTATAATTCTACAGTAATATGTGACTTAATGACAGCTATATTCTGAGAAATTTGTCATTAGGTGATTTCATCATTGTGTGAACATCATGAAGTGTACTTACACAAACCTAGGTGGTAGAGCCTACTACACACCTAGGCTATATGGCAAAACCTGTCACTTCTAGGCTACAAACCTGTACAGCATGTTCATGTATTGAATACCGTAGGCAATTGTAACACAATGGTATTTGTGTAATCTAAACACAGAACAGATAATACATTGTGCTACAATGTAACAATGGCTGTGGCATCACTAGGTGATAGGAATTTTTCAGCTCCATTATAATCTTATAGGATCTCTGTCATATGTGGTCCATTGTTGAGCGAAACATGTGGCACATGACTGTATGTCATATTTTCGGAAAATGGAATAGGTAATCATCACTTGTGTGAATTTTAATCAAATGATTTAGGAAAGAAACTAGATGTTTTAAAAGCTGTTGCATTTATTATAAATGTCACAAATACAGCTCTTGCCTATTGAGAATGTTGGAGAGATGTCTTTAAAAAATGTTTGTATGTAAAAATGTGTCTGTATGCGATAGCTCGAAAAATGCCTGTGTCGTAAGTCATTACTCATGTTCTAATTTTTGCTCTTTGTACTGTTTATCTGTATGCTTGTTCTTCAATATTTCAGACTCAAAATAAATTTATTTTTTTATGTTAATTTGCTATGACTTTTTGAAAAATTCTGATGCTTAGGTACACATGGGGAGTTTAAAGGGATTACAGAATTTCAGAATGGGAATGAGGTAGTGCATGGAACATAAAATAGGGAAACAAAGTCTACCAGGGTCAGAGCTAAAATAGATACTAAAATATTTTATTCCTTTAAAAGTAACTTTAGAGAGTGATGTTAGCACGATGGCAGAATAGGAGCTTTGTATCATCATTCTTCCACAGAAGCACTGATTTTTACCAGTACTTTCAGACGATAGTTCTTTTGTAGGAATCCAGAAGTCCAATGTAGAAGTTCCAGCACACCCTTGGAGCAGAAATATCTGAGAATAAATGCATTAAAGAAAGGAAAAAGAACATTTTCACTTTATCTGCATCACGCCTCCTTGAAGTTGGCACAACTTAGTGGCAAGAGAGACTCCCCTCAGTCCACGATTTCTCCCATAGGAGAAGGTGTGCCACGATTTCTCCCATAGGAGAAGGGCTGAGCATAGTGAGTGAGTGCTCAGCCCCTAGCTGTGTGGGATGCTGCCTAAGAACCTTACCTCTTTCTTACCCCAATTAAAATACTGAGGTGATTGGCATAGCTAAGTGTTGGGAAAGGCTGGGAGGAGGGAAGAAAGGCTCTGAAACCTGCTCAGCACTCCACAGACTCCATCAGGAAGCGTACACACCAGCCACTGGGATACCTTGCATATGGACCTCCCACATGACCCATGGCCACCCCAAATGCTCTGTGCACCTCACCCCCATCTCCCTGAGGCTGGCTTCCCAAGCATGCCACATTGGATGGCAACTGCAAACATCAAATATAGAGACAGATGGCTTGATTGTGGAGCTGGAGCAAGGTACACAAACTTGAGTACTTAAGGGCACCACCCTAGGGGAAACAAATAGTATGCTGTCAGCACCTGGCCTGGCTTTGTGGGATTGAGAGAAGGCATATAATTTCTAAGAATCCCCTGCTGCAACTGAGAATGGGTTGTGGAGCAGGTGAATCCACAGGAAAGGTAGGAGAGAGCCTCAGAATTCCTAGCCAGGCAGATTGATGAAGGCATTTCTCTCCTGAAGCTAGTCAATTAAGACTGGAAGAAGTGATTTTCTTCAAATGCAAGGATAGAAATGGAAGACTTCAAGAAAACAAACAAAAAATGGAAACATGGTATCACCTGAGGAGCACAATAATATTACAGTAACAAATCCAAAGAAATTGAGATCTATGAATTACTTGACAATAAATTTAAATTGTTTTAAGAAAATTCACTGAGCTATAAGGAGAACAGATACACAACTCTATGAAATCAGAAAAACAATGCATGAACAAAATGGAAGTTCAGCAAAGAGACAGAAATAAAAAACAAATTCTGTTGCTGAAGAATACAATCAGAAAGGAAAAATGCAATAGTCAACAGCAGATTTGATCAAGCAGAAGAAAGAATCTGAATTCCAAGACAGGTCATTTGAAAATATCCAGCCAGAGGAGAGAAAAAGAACAAAAGGATTAAAGGGAGCTTATGAGATTTATGAAACAATATTAAGAGCTAACATTTGCATTATGGAAATAATAAAGGAGAAGAGAAAGAAGGAGCAGAAAGCTTATTTAATAAAAAATGGCTGAAAGCTTCTCAAATGTGGGACACAGACATTAAGGTATATGACGCTCAACGGTCTGCAATCTGGTTCAACCCAAAAAAGACTTTGCCAAGACACATTGCATTCAAACAGTCAAAAGTAAAAGAATTAAACTTTGTTTATAGTATAGTCACAGATGTATGCAACCATTACCACAGTCAACTTCAGAGCATTTTCATCACTTCAAAAAGAAATTCCTTACCCCATAGCTATCACTCCCCTATGCCTTCATCTACCACCTCATTGATTCCTCAAGGATCTAGAACTAGAAATAACATTTGACCCAGCCATCCCACTACTGGGTATATACCCAAAGGATTATAAATCATGCTGCTATAAAGACACATGTACACATATGTTTATTGTGGCCCTATTCATAATAGCAAAGACTTGGAACCAACCCAAATGTCCATCAATGATAGACTGGATTAAGAAAATGTGGCACATATACACCATGGAATACTATGCAGCCATAAAAAAGGATGAGTTCAGTCCTTTGTAGGAGATGGATGAAGCTGGAAACCATCATTCTGAGCAAACTATTGCAAGGACAGAAAACCAAACACTGCATGTTCTTACTCAGAGGTGGGAATTGAACAATGAGAATACTTGGACACAGGGTGGGAAACATCACACACTGGGGCCTGTCGTGGAGTTAGGGGGAGGGGAGAGGGATAGTATTAGGAGATATACCTAATGTAAATGACAAATTAATGAGTGCAGCACACCAACATGGCACATGCATACATATGTAACAAACCTGCACGTTGTACACATGTGCCCTAGAACTTAAAGTATAATTTTTTAAAAATGAAAAAAAAATATAAATAAAAATTTTTT